CCGGTGGGGAAAACCCAACAGCAAAGCAGGGGGCACGGGGTGGAGGGCGCACCGGAGTCAGACGGTGGACTCGGGGCCAACAGGTTCTTGAAATCGCATCCCCCATCCCTTGAATCCCACGGCAAATTGGCAAAGTGTGTTCCCTGGAACGCCTTCCACCGCCTCCAGCCCCCACCCCCACCGCGCAGGCCCACGACCTAGAGTTCTTGTTTAAGATTTCCCTTTGGCGCCTTAGCCTACCCCTAGCCAGGATTTATAATATCCCTCTTTCCATTCCTTTAACAGCCTTCTTCCTTTGAAACTGCTGAGGTTTTCCTTTGAATAGTCCAGGTTATAGTGAAAGTGGTATATAAAGAATGTCTGGAACGTGGGTATTATAGCACATTGATTTTTATTTTGCCAAAATCCAGGGAATCCTCGGAGGAACGAAAATCTATCAGGATGTAAGAAGGATTTTTCTTAGCACTTTAGAAGTGTACTGCCCTAGTGTCATCTTTATTTCAGGTTTAGTTGAAGACGGTGATAGAATAAATTTTTCTTGTTTTATGGCTCTCAATGTGTAATTTTTTTATGACCCTCAGGGGAAAGCAGTGCAATTTCGGTAACTACCATTCTTGATTCAGAATCAAGGTTCTGTCTTATATCTTCCATCACATCTTGTTCTATATAACCTTACTTCTTGGTTGTCATATTTTTACTTTATCACATATTATCAGTATTTTCAGGGGTGCCTAGTTGGCTCATTATCCAATGCAACTCTTCATATTAGTTTCATGAGTTCAACCCTCACTCTGGTCTTAGATGTTACTTTAAAAAATAATATTTTGAGGGCACTTGGGTGGCTCAGTTGGTTAAGCGACTGCCTTTGGCTCAGGTCATGATCCTGGGGTCCTGGAATCGAGTCCCACATCAGGCTCCCTGCTCGGTGGGGAGTCTGCTTCTCCCTTTGCCCCTCTCCCCTCTCGTGCTATCTCATTCTCTCTCTCAAATAAATAAATAAAATCTTTAAATAAAATATTTTGGGCACTTGAGTGGCTCAGTCAGTTAATGGCTGCCTTCGGCTCAGGTCATGATCCCGGGGTTTCTGGGATGGAACCTGGTACCCTCTTCTCCCCCTCACTCCCCCTGCTTGTGTTCTCTCTCTCTCTCTGAAATATGTTTAAAAAATAAAAACTAAAATAAAATAAAACCCTCCTGTGAGAGGTGCCCTCCCTCTACCTCTGGAGGAAGGGGACTTCTCTGTCTCTCAAGGCAAAGGGACATAGAGAAGAATGTGAATATTTGCAATATTTGAATGTAGTATTGGTGATGATGGGGGAAATGGTCAATATGATTCAATTTTAGGTAATCAGATAATCAAAATTTTCAGAGAAAATTTTGGATCTATCTGAATTTTTAATGTGTTTATCGTCTGTCCACAGTTCTACTGTAGTAATTTATCTTACTCAATATTTGCACTAGTGGGTAAAAGTGTATGTTGATCCATTTATTATCTGTATTCTTGAAAAATAGGGAATATTTTACATGATCATAGCTAAGAGCCTGTTTCTGAAACACATAACACAATGTAGCTATTTAAAAGAGTGAGGACATAAGTATATATGTCAGTTCTTTTGTGGTGTCAGCTGCTAAGACCCTTTCTAAGGATCACCACCTCCTGGTTTCCAAACTGGCCACAATCCTTCCCCATACTCTATGGGGGGTTTGTATGTGTGAATAACAGCACGTACCCATAATGTAAGTATGTCACTTCCAAGATTAAGTTAGAAAATACTGTGGCTTCCATCTTGAGCTCTCTGTCTCTTTCTCTCTCATAATCTTTGGAGGAAGCCAGGTAACATTGTGTGATGATGCATACACAGGCTATGGAGTGGCCCAAAAAGAGAGGAACAAAGGCTATTTGAGCAACCACCCCCGTGAGCTCTGCATTGGGTCCTCCATTTCAGTTGAGGCTTCAGGTGACTGCAGGCCCAGTCAACAGCTTGACAGCAACTTCATAAGGACCGTGATCAGATCCATGGAGCTAAGTTGCTGCTGGCTTCCTGACTCCAGAAACTGTGACAGAATAAATGTTTCTTGTTTTAAGCTGCCAAGTTTTGGAGTAATATAACATGGACTCCGTTTATAATAATAGATAGTTTATCCAACGATAGCTCATACAAATAGTATGTTAAAAAAGTAAATTGTGTAAGTCGGACGGGGAGACAAACCATGAGAGACGATGGACTCTGAAAAACAGACTGAGGGTTCTAGAGGGGAGGAGGGTAGGGGGATGGGTTAGCCTGGTGATGGTATTAAAGAGGGCACATTCTGCGGGGAGCACTGGCTGTTATGCACAAACAATGAATCATGGAACACTACATCAAAAACTAATGATATAATATATGGTGATTAACATAACAATAAAATTTTTTTTAAAAAGTAGATTGTAGGGGTACCAGGTGGCTCAGTTGGTTAAGTGGCTGACTCTTTAGGCTCAGTTCATGGTCTCAGGGTTGTGAGATCAAGCCCAGAGTGGGACTCCATGCTCTGTGGGGAGGTCTGCTTGAGATTCTTTCCCTCTCTCTGCCCCTCCCCGCACTCATGCACACACTTTCTCTCTCAAATAAATGTCTTTAAAAAAGTAAATTATAGAATAGTAAAATCTTATTATAATATGAAAAATGATAAATTTATGATAAACTATGAAAAATTATAAATCATATAATTTTCATATAAACTCCTGAAATTCAAAACATAATATGGTGAATAGGGGCTTATGTCATTTGTCCTACAATATTATTTGAATGTTTTTACAAGTAACTCTTTAAATTGATGTATAATTGAGCTTTATTGATGTATAATTGACATACAATAATAGGTACACCTTTAAAGTGCACTATTTGATAAGTTCTAACATATAGAACCGTCACTACCATCAAGATAATGAACGTAGGTTCACCCCGAAACTTTGCCTCATGCCCCTCTATAATCCCCTCCTTCGTTTCCCTTCCAGGCAACAGTTGATTTGCTTCCTGTCACCATTGCGTAGTTTTGTTTTCCAGATCATGCTGCCTAATACAATTTCTGTGAGGGGCGCCTGGGTGGCTCAGTTGGTTAAGCATCTACCTTCAGCTCAGGTCATCATCCCAGGGTCCTGGGGTCAGGATCGAGCCCTGCATCGAGCCCCCTGTCAGCAGGGAACCTGCTTCTCCCTCTCCCTCTGCCTGCCACTCCCCCCTGGTCGTGCTCTCTCTCTCTCTGTCAAATAAATAAATAAAATATTTTAAAAAATAGAATTTCTGTGATTCTAATAAGTTTTATATTTGTATTTTCCAGTATGGTAGCCATTAGTCACGTGTAGGTATTGAGCACTTGAAAAGAGCCTTGTCCAAATTGAAGAATCCTGTAAGTGTAAAATATACACTGAATTTCCAAGACTTAATATGAAAGCAGGAGTGTAAAACATCTCTATATTTTTATACTGATTACATATTGAAATAATACTATAGTGGATATATTGGGTATTATGGATTGAATTGTGTCCCCTCAAAATTCATGTATTGACGTCCTAACTTCCAGTACCTCAGAATGTGAGCTTATTTGGCAATAGGATGTCTGTTTCCTATGTAATTAGTTAGGATGAGGTCATCCTGGAGTAGAGTGAGCTGCTAATATGGACTAGCGTCCATATTAAAAGGGGGAATTCAAAGACACAGACACACTCACATGGGAAGAACACCAGGTAAAGTTTGGAGCTATGCTGCCACAAGCCAAGGAACTATCAGAAGCTGGGAAAGAGGCCTGAAACAGATCCTTCCCTAGTGCCTTCAGAAGGAGCATGGCCCCGCTGACACTTTGATCTAACTTCTGGCCTCTGAAACTATGAAAAATAAATTTATGTTGGTTAAGCCACTTGGTTCATGGTACTTTGTTATGGCAGCCATTGAAAACTAATACATTGGGTTAAATAAAATATATTATTAAATTAATTTTATCTGTCTCTAAGAAGGCCCTGACTCTTCCCTCTTCAAATACTCTGCAGAACAGATGTATGCATTTCTGAAAAATCTTGTAATCCCATTTTATTTTCTTTTTTTTAAAGATTTATTTACTTATTTATTTATTTATTTGACAGAGAAAGAGACAGAGAGAGAGAGAGAGAGAATAAGTGGAGGGAGTGGGAGAGGGAGAAGCAGACCTCCTGCTGCTGAGCAGGGAGCCCGATGTGGGGCTTCATCCCAGGACCCTGGGACCATGACCTGAGCTGAAGGCAGACGCTTAACAACTGAGCCACCCAGGTGCCCCTTGCAATCCCATTTTAAATAAAAACAACAAGCATATTCCTTATTGTGTGGCATAGTGGCTAAGGTGGTGTAGACCCTTCCAAGGTTAAGGCAATGAGAATGGAATCAAGACCCCCACATCAGTGATAGAACAAATACCTCTTCCGGCCGCCACAGCTCTGGAGAGTGTATTGTGGCCCCATGAGGAGCTGTGATGAGAACATGTGATGAGAATTATAGTGGAGGTGGACTTTAGCACAGAAATCTGGAAGAGTAAATAATTTGACTTTTTCTCTGATGGGGGGGACATGAAGAAGAAAATGGCTTATCCAATCATCAAAATGAATGAGGCGAGCCCTCAGTAAAATTGTAAGTTAATCACTTTTTATTTCCATCCTTCCATTCCTTCCCTGAGCCCCCTCCACCTCTCGCTGGCCCGCTCCCTCTTTGCTGTGCATTCCCAGTGCTGGATCTTTGTCTCGTCTGACCAACTACCAGCCTGAGAAGCTGATTCTCCCCATGGTATTACTGACTGTCCTCAACAAGAGAAGAAAGTTGATTACAAGAAAACAAAACCCAGTCAGACTAGATGAAATACAGGTGCACCATAAACCTATGAGAGGAAACCTCAAAGATCTTCAAACACAGGGAAGAAAGGATGACGTCAGCAGACTGAAAGTGAAACAGGAAGTGGGTTCTGGAAGCCAGAATTGGAAGACAGGACCGCTCTTCTCTGCTTTTTTTCTCCACTTCTCTCCAATTTTGTGGGAAACAGAACGCCACAACGACCACTGGTGCGTGTTCGTTCAGACTCCCGAGATCTCTGGGAAAACTCGAGATTGCAGGGTTAAAAATAACCCAAAAGGATCAGAGTGAAATGCCCTTGGGATGTGTGTGGTCTGTTCTAAAGTACACAGCCGAAGATGTTTTGTAGATAGGAAGCCAGCTGTAAACAGCACACTGTGCATTCCCTTCTTTGTTCTCTTATCCTGTGTTAAGGTCCGAGTACATTGGTGTTTACAATTAATTGATCACAGCCAGTTACAGATTTCTTTATTCCTTCTCCACTCCCACTGCTTCACTTAACTGATCCTGTATACATGGGGGAATGTGCCTTACTACGCCCCTGCTGTAAATCATTATAGATCTATATCGCTGTAGAAGGTATATAAGAGTATGGAAAATAAACCTCGGCACCTCGGGCTGTTTGCTCGGGGTCCCCTGTGCCTCACTATACTGTGGTCTCTTTTTCTCAGTTCTTTTGCCGCCCCAGGTCCCCGACTCTCCGAGGTGGACAAGTGGCACCTGAACAGGGACCTGAAGCCCCCGTCGAGAAGTGATCGACCAGCCCTAGGAACCCTACAGAAGTTGGTAAGTAGGAAAGTTTATTACAGGGTTATGGGGCAATCAAATTCAGAAACATCAGGTTTTTCTGCGTTGATACATCATTTTCTTAAAGAATATGGAGCTAAAGTTACTAAGCAGTGCATAGAAAAATGTTTGGAAACAGTAGTTGAATATAATCCTTGGTTTCCGGAAGAAGGCTCCTTAGAGGAGGAGACTTGGGTCCGAGTGGAAAATAATGTCTTGAGGGCTATGAGACAGGGTGAAACGATTCCTCTTGATTTTTGGCCCATTTGGGCTTTAGTATGAGTGGTGATCAATACTATGGAAACTGGGGATAAGTTATCCCCGGCTGAGGTTGCTAAAGAAACTACCAACTCTTTACATACATATGAATTAGACGATGAGACTTTAGAAAAGGCTAAGACTGAAAGTAAAAATATTTTCACGCTTCACAGTCCCGGCCGTCACCCATGGCCCCTGTGCTTTTAACGGAGGACCCCGCCATAGATGATCAACCTCCCTCCACGGTAGATTTATTCCTTCTCAAAGGATCCTCTCTAGCTCCCTCACCTCTCGAAAAGGAACTCCAACGGCAAGGGGCTAATGATTTGTTTATGGCTTTCCCCATAGATGGAACACAGGCTGTTGGTCCTGTCAATGAGGGATTAGATTTAAATGCCTTAAGGGAACTAAAGAAGGCTTGCCACTTGTATGGACCCACGGCCCCTTATACTATAGAGATTTTGAAAGCTTGGGCAAATTCTGGGGAGTGGTTCCCTTATGATTGGCATATGGTTGCATGGGCTTGCCTTAAGCCACAGGATTTATTGCAATGGAAAATATGGTTATCGGATGCTGCCTATATGAAAGCCCGGGTGAATCGGGCTAACCCAGCCATGCATAATATTTCTTTTGAAATGCTCACTGGCTCTGGCCCCTTTTCAGATGTCCGAGAGCAGCTGGTTAACACTGCATGCAGCCACAGCGCTGGTATCTGAAATTGCCCTCGCAGCCTGGGAAAAGCTAACCCCCTCAGGGGAAGTGGGGCAAAGTTATATAAAAATTATGCAAGGGCCTACAGAAGCATATACTGATTTTATTTTTCGGCTTGAAATGGCTATTGACCACCAAGTTGATAGTAAACCTGCTAAAGAGCACTTGCTAAGACAGCTTGCTTTTGAAAATGCTAATGAGGACTGCCAAGCTGACATCCGGCCACAGAGAGAAACAGGAGGCATTCTCGATTTTCTTCGTCTATGTAGAAATATTGGCACTCTTACACATCAAGCTCGAATAGCCTCCCTTCAACTCATGGCCCCTTCTGATAGAAAAATTGCAGGCCTTAGAGCAAATTGTTCAAGAGCAATTGCAGGCAGGACATACAGAGCCTTTGCAATCTCCTTGGAACTCTCCCCTTTTTGTTATCAAAAAGAAATCAGGCAAATGGAGGCTCTTAATAGACCTTCAGAATGTTAATGCCGTCATGGAGCCTCTGGGTGCCTTGCAGCCTGGGTTACCTACTCCTACAACCATTCCCAAACAATGGCCATTGATAATAATAGATCTTAAGGATTGTTTCTATACCCTAGCCATTCACCCTGAGGATAGGGAGAAATTTGCCTTTTCTATTCCCAGCACTAACAATAAGGAACCAATGAGATGATATCAATGGACAGTTTTGCCACAAGGCATGACTAATACTACCATGTGTCAGTATTATGGTGGCCAGGTCCTCAGACCTGTAAAAGATCATTATCCTCGATCCTATATCATTCATTATATGGATGATATTTTACTAGCGTCACAAACTAAAATTGAATTACCAAATGTGTATCAGGCCACTTCTCAACATTTGACTTCGGCTGGTCTCATAATAGCCCCGGAGGAAATCTAAACAACTACTCTGGCTTCTTAATCTAGGCCCTGCGGTAGATAGAACCACAGTGAAACCTCAAACGATGCAAATTCGTAGGGATACCCTCCTTACTCTTAACGATTTTCAGAAATTCCTAGGAGACATTAACTGGATTCGCCCTCTCCTGGGGATTCCAACTTATAAATTACAAAATTTATTTAACACTTTACAAGGTGACTCTGCTTTATTTTCTCTCTCTCTTTTTAAAAAGATTTTATTTATTTGAGAGCGAGAATGAGAGAAAGAGAGTACACGAGAGGGAGGAGGGTCAGAGGGAGAAGCAGACTCGCCGCTGAGCAGGGAGCCCGATGCGGGACTCGATCCCGGGACTCCAGGATCATGACCTGAGCCGAAGGCAGTCGCTTAAACACCTGAGCCACCCAGGCGCCCCCCTCTTTTTTAAAGATTTTATTTATTTATTTGTAGGTGACTCTACTTTAGATCGTCCTCACACTCTATCCTCAGAGGCAGAGGCCGAACTGCAGTTTGTTGAGGAGCGATTAAAAACTGCCTTTGCTTACAGGTATAATGATTCTCTCCCCCTGCTTCTTATTTTCCCTACCCCTCATTCTCCGACTGGTGTCATAGCACAAGAAGACAAACCTCTAGAATGGGTGACTTTACATACAAAAACTTCTCGAACTGTTACTCCGTATCTATCTCTTGTCACTTCACTCATTCTCCAAGGACGAAAGCGTTCTATTCAAATTCTAGGTTTTGACCCAGCACTCATTGTTTTACCTATCTCTCCCACATCTTTTAAGGAAGTCCTTCCCTTCTCTACTGATCTGCAAATATCTCTTGCTGATTATACTGGGCGCATAGGTTGCTACTATCCGTCAGGTAAACTATGGGACTTCCTAAAGCGCACTGCCTGGGTTATAAATCACGTAGTTCGTAAGGCCCCAATCCCCTCAGCTCCTACATACTTTATTGATGGCTCCTCCTCCGGCGCGCCAGAGTCTGGGGCCCTGCTATTCAGCGCTCCATGAAAAGCCCTTACACTTCTGCTCAACAAATCGGACTTGCAGCTTCATTGTTCTTATTACAGAATGTTCATCATCCTATAAATATCGTATCTGATTCTGCCTACGTAGTTAGCATTGTTGTGCCTTTAGAAACAGCTCTCATTTCCACAACTCACTCTATCATTAACCCTTTGCTTCAGGAATTACAATTAGAAATTCAATCTCGAACTCACCCTTTGTTCATTACTTACCTGCTTTCATTCTAACCTCCCTGGAACTCTTACACAGGGGAATCAATCTGCTGATTTACTGGCTACTCCTACCTTTGAAACTCCACAGGCAGAACATGCCCATCTTCATACCAAGGTCAACTGCCTTCATTTGCACTATAAAATACCCTTGCGTTCTGCCAGGCAGATTGTCTCTTCCTGTCCCGTTTGTCGACCTCTACATTTAACTGAGCATCCGGCGGGTGTCAATCCCAGAGGCACAGCTCCTGATTGTATTTGGCAAACGGACGTTACTCATTTCCCACCTTTCGGATGGCTCTCGTATATTCATGTTACAATAGACACCTTTTCAGGATTTCTTCATGCTACTCCATTGACGGGAGAAAAGGCTGGGCATGTTATTTCTCATTTGCTTGAATGTTTTGCTATTATGGGATTACCCACTTGTATCAAGACGGACAATGGCCCAGCATATACTAGCAAAAAAGTATGAGAATTCCTTGCAAAATGGCAAATACAGCATATCACAGGTATTCCTTACAATCCTCAAGGACAAGGACAAGTAGTAGAAAGGGCGCATGCCACCATTAAAAACAACTCCGTAAAATTATATCTAAAAAGAAAGGGGGGATCTCCCCTCGAGATAACATGACACAAACCTTATTCATTTTAAATTTTTTAAATTTGCCCCAAGGAGAACCATATACCAGAGCTGACAAACATTTCTCGTCAGCCTCAATCTCAACTCAGGACGCACCCATGTGGATAAAAAATGAGGAACATAATTGGTTGCCCGGGAAATTAATTACCCGAGGCCCTGGTTATGCTTGTGTCATTCCAGATGGATCCAGTCGAGCAATTTGGTTGCCTCTTCGGAAAGTCCAGCCCAGGTCCCCGACTCTCAGAGGTCGACACAATTTCAACCAACTCTCTCATTTTCTCTTGCACTCTCGCTCCCTCCCCTTTCCGTCCTCCCTTCCTTCCCCTCTCCTTCTCTCAGATGGCTTGCTTTATTTTTACATGACCTAACGTGGTCTGACTTGACGTGATCTTTCAATTAAGTACCTGCTATCATCTACCTAAAGTGTTTGCCCCTCAGTTAATTTCAAAGTCTGATTAGTCATTGGTGATTCTGTGAGCTCTGTCCTCCTTGGGTAATGATAGATCCCAGCCTGACCTGGGGCAGGAGGAGAGTGAAGGAGTTAGGAGAGGGCTTTTCCCATGTGACAGACCTAGGGCTGCCTCTTCTAGCTGTGAGCAGGGTGCAGGAAGTGGGGCATGCATGTCAGGTATCTGCAGACAGTATCTATTCAAAATAGACACTAACATTACCTATTTTTTCCCTGGGTTGTGGCTATTGTACCTGGATGTATCATGAAAAATAATGTAAAAATTATATACTTGTAATTTCGTAAATGGTAGAGGGATCATTGCCATTAAGGATGAGATGATTTTTTACTTTTCACTTTTTTACTTCTTACTTTTACAAATGCAGCTATTATATATGTGAATTTAAATATGTGGTTCACATTGCATTTCTGTTGGACGACGCTGCACTGGAGGTATACTTAGCAACAAATTTATCGTGTCAGGTTTACCAGGAAGCTGTTTCTTCTCCTAACCCTCTATCTGGTGATGCGGACCTGCTCCATATCCTTAGTAAATACGGAAAGTCCATCCCTATGTAGCAAATGGCAACTGGTATTGCCTTTGATATTCACCCAGAACACTCTCCAATTTACCTGTATTGTTATAACATGCAGCCCACTGACAATACTTGAGAGAGGCAGATTGGAACATTCCCCAAGATCCTGAATCTCCTTTAACGTGTGAAAGTTTCTCCCTTATCTTTACTTCCCCTGACCCCAAGGTATATAATCACTTGCTCCTCATAATCCCAGGGCAGCAGGGAGAAGCTCTTCCTGCCCACGGGCCCTGTCCCCGTGCTTTAATAAAACCACCATTTTGTACCGAAGATGTCTCAAGAATTCTTTCATGGCCGTTGGCTCCGGACCCCACAAACAACACACCAGCATTAAAAAAAAACTACATTATTGTCATGAGGAGGAATTTCCAGGACAGACACAGCGCAGCTAACAAGTGACACAAGTGGGAAAGTTTATTGCAAGGTGGGGGAGGGGAGAAGGAGAGAAAGTATGGGATGTGTGCCCTGGTGGGGAGGTTCTATCTTTTATTGACAGTTGTTAACTAGGGGGCAGAATATTAATTACTTGGGGCAGGAAACAGGTTTTCGAGCTTTTTCTTCCTTGTTTGGTCAGGGGTTTCCTGTCATGGCATCCACCATCTTGGGCCTGTCTGGTTTGATCTGGCTTCTAGTGCAGAGCTGC